TTGGGCCACCTCCCGCCAGTCTACCAAATTTCAAGAAAAGATCTTAATTTCAAGAAATTACGGGCTATGGGGTGAAAAGTAGGAAACAAGACGGACAGTCAGAAAATGATCGTTATACCAAAAGGTTGGTCTGTCTCTGGTCCTTCTGTGTTTTATGCCCTTGCACGGCACGTGGTGTGGGGTATAAAGGTTATGATAATCATAATAATATCTTACTGGTCGGGGTCAGCACTTAATATATTTTCGTGAACAAGTTTGAATAGCTTCAATTCGATATTTCGTGCTGTTATTAAATGCCTTACGGCATTCCAATTGTAGAATCGCTGAACTGGGATAGCTAAGCTAAGTTTGCACGTATCAATGCTATCTGCGTTTAATATTTTGGAAGAAATCTCTGCCAGAGTAGCGAAATGAAAAATTAATAAACAAATCTTATCAAACTATTATTTGCATAATTATTATAAATATCCGAGCTATTTTCCGCTTGAAGAGAATACAAATAATAAAGTGAATATAAAATTACGGTACAATGTACTTTCGGCTTCAAAAAAGTACATACTTAAAGTTTACAGAGTATAAAATAATAATCTCGTTTTACATATATATCTCTGTTAACCAACAAAATAATTTTAAGTGAAACCAGAAGCCCTTTAAATACTAATTCCTGTAATATTACGTAAATATGATGAGACCTCGTAAGAATTGTAAATAGAATCTACGTAAACCTATTAATCATGATTCAACGGTACGAACTTGACCCTTAAATGCATGAATTTTCATTAAAAAAAAACTTGGAGTCAACTGGAAAATGTTAACGGAAAAAATAATAGAAAAACCCATGTAAGAATATTCCTTTAATTAAAAAAAAAAATACATATTCATGTATTTCTATATCAATAAAACTCGTTTATAAACACAACCATTTCGTTGCGTTTCGGTTTATTTTGAATTTATAAACAACCATTCGGTTGCGTTTCGGTTTATTTGCAATTTATTTTTGCTACTCATCTGCCGCAATTATTCAAGTAGACGCCCTTTTCATGCCACAAACCCCTTATGGCCAGGAACTGGTAGTTGGAAAAAAAAAGTTAAATTAATTTAACTTAAATTACTTTCACAAGAGGACAAGAATTTTCTGTGGTGCTCTTTTTTATAACGCGGCGAATTGTCTGCTGCTGATCTCGCGGAATATTCAAGAAGAAGAAGGGAGATAAGCATAATGACCACAAATGTAGATGACAGTTTTAAAAATCCACATGTGAGTTTCGTATCTCCTACTTTTTTTTTATATTATAAAATTTATTTGTTTAGCTCGACGAAGATGAAGGGGAAGAACAATTTATACCAACTTCAGCTGGTCGAAAACATTTATTTAGTAAAGAATAACGTTGCATGATGTACGGCGGTGACGACAAAAATTCTTACACGCAAAGCGTTAATCTGCTGGAAAATTTAGTTATCGAGTCTATAACAGAAATGAATGGCGGACGGGCAAAAACGAGATAAATTTTTCTTCTTCTATTTTTCTAATATTAATGAATGAATGAATGAAAAACATGGCCACTGTAATGTAGTAGGCGAGCCTCAAATAACAGTCGAGTTCAATTGACTCTTAATGCAAAACTTATATTAATTAATAATAAAATTTAGTATAAGTATAATAAAATAAATAAGAAGAAAAAAAAAAAAAAAGAATGTACACTATCAGCATAGGGACACACTTACAACCGGTACAGGACCAAATTGCAAATGAACCCCTAAACCATCGCAAACATGCATAAGCCTGGCAACCGATAATAAATTGTCAATAATTCACTTTCGAAACGTAACGATTTTTAGAATAAAAGCTAATTTAAATACGATATAGGTAAATTGCGCGCATTAAGCAATGTTGCTTTAAAGGACTTTAAAGAGTCCGATAACGAGAATAAGTGGTAGACGTCATTTAGGTTCTTGCAAACGACTCTGAGCGGATTGAACAGCTCATAATTAAACTTACACTGACTAAGCTTAACCAAGATAAAGTGCCTGGAGAAGCGGTTAGGGACATTAAAGCTTATTTCACCAAGTAATGAAGGCGAGTCAATGGCACCATTTATTACATTAATTAGAAAGGAAACGCCAAGAACAAATCTGCGTTTCGCAAGAGACGGTAGGGACAGCAGAAGCAACCTATTTTCATACGGAGGAAGAGAGGCAACCGGGTCCCAACCCAAATTTCTAAGGGCAAACAGCAAGAATTACTTTTGAACAGACTCGATTGAATCTACGTAGCACCTATATGAAGGAAACCACACAACTGAGGCATACTCGAGTATGGGTCTAACCAAACACATGTACAGCCTTTTCGTAATGTAGGGACCATCAAGCTCTTTGGACCACCTTTTTATAAAACCAAGCGCGGACGTAGCTTTGCTAATCGAGAGCTCAATATGCAAGTTAAAACGTAACCTATGGTCAAATAGAACGCCTAAATCTGTGATCGAATCGACATCCTCCAACTTATGCGAATCTATGAAATACTGAGTAATGAATGATTTTCTTCTTGAGAATGAAAGCTTCTTACATTTACTCAGATTTAGTTTCAGAAGATTCAAAGAGCACCATGCAACAAAATTATCCAAATCACCTTGAAGCTGATGTGATTGCGATTCAACAGAGAAGGAAGAAAACAGTTTCACATCATCAGCATACATTAAGATCTGGCTGGAATTAACCACCGATGGGAGATCGTTAATGTATTAACTAAATAAAATAGGACCTAAGTGACTTCCTTGAGGTACGGCAGACGTAACGGGGAATTCATCCGAGGTAATGGAGTTAAACAAAACCCTGAAGGATCTATTGTGCTGATAAGAGCTTAGCCATTTCACTAAGTAGGGTGGGAAACCAGAGGCTTGGAGTTTAAAGATAAGTAGTCTATGGTTAACCATATCAAATGCTTTGCTTAAATCAGTGTAAATAGCATCTGAGCGAGAGCCACTAGAAAAAGCCTTGAAAACATGACAGGTAAACTCTAACAAGTTGGTGACTGTAGATCCCCCTTTCCGAAAGCCGTGCTGGTGCGGAGAAATATACCAGTTAATGGCAAAGGCCAAATGCTGAGTCACAATACGCTCGAACAACTTGGGCAAGGCACTCAACTTGGCTATGCCTCTGTAGTTCTCAACAAATTGTCTACTTCCACTCTTGTGGATAGGAATACGGAAACTACTCTTCCAACATGAAGGGAAAACACCTGAATACAAGGACATGTTAAAAATCTTTGAGATCACACCACATAACTCGACAGCGCAAGATTTAAGTACACATGATGGAATTCCATCAGGTCCAGGCGAACAACTGTATTTTAGAGAACTCAACCCTTTAAAAACGTCATCTTCCGAAATAACCAAGTTAGGTATTGAAACCGAGTTAGTTATAGGATATGGGTAGTTTGCTGATAAATCGAAATTAGCAATCGAAAAGTTACTCAGCTTAAACTCAGCAAATAGATTTGAGATTTCAAAATCATCCGAGGAATGAGAGCCATTAAAAGAAACATGAGAGGGATATGTGGAAATTTTTCTTTTAGAGTTAACAAATTTAAAGAAGAATTTAGGATTAGCAAACAGAGAGGATTTAATGAACTGAAGGTATCTGCAGTAATAATGATGGTTGAGGGAGTTAAATCTATGCCTCGCCACCGAGTAAGCGACATAGTCGAGCGCAGAGCCGAATATTTTTTGAATAGCGAGTTTTTTCTATTCTTGTGATATTTAATTATCTTATTAAACCACGGAGGACACCTGCTTCGAGGTCGACAATGCTTGATCGGAACAGATGCAGCAATAGCTAGATTTAATGTATTGTAGAACGATGACAATAAGCTTTCAATACTACCGGTTGAGAAATCAAGGGTCAAATGTGAAAGACGATGTTTTAGTAATACAATATTGATTTTATGAAAATCATAATAATTATTTAAAAAAGTTTGACTTGGCACATTAAGGCAATTCAACAAACCATCATTCATATGATGAAAGGAAATGCATATTGATGGATGATAAGGATCCTCAGGTAAACTAAAAGGTGGACAACGATTTACGTAAATCTCGGGAAAATTGGCAAAGCAGAGATCAAGCAGTCTACCATTACAATTAGGGGTACGATTATGTTGACCCAAATTATGATCAAACAATTCACTAAAGAACACAACAGCCCTATCAGACGTTGAAGTAGGAACCAAACAGCCAGAATTATCAGTGTTACACCAAGTGACTTGAGGCAAATATGATGTTATTTACTGTCGAAACCATACAAAAAGTTGACATCAAAAAACTACAATAGTTTCAGCTATTTGGGAAGAGAACTCGTTAAATGAAACGTAGAAAGGAAAAAAAGCTTCAAAAATAACAAATATGAAATATTGGTATTTCAATATGGTAGGTAGGCAAGGACGATTTTCTGATGAGTAGTAAGCGGTTCAAAAAAAGATTTAATTTTATGATGAAAAATAAGTGTAAACAAAAATGTAAAAAATAAAAAATGTAATAATATATATTATATATAAACAATAAAAAAACTATAACTATAAAGTATTTGAATAGCAAAAAGATACAAGAAACCAAGGATAAGAAAAATACATCCAAATGTCATTAATTAAATAAAATGCGAAAAATTAGCAAAACTAATTTAAAGTTGCATGGAGTTAAAGAGCCTTGAAGCATGTGTGTACATAGGTATCTTTATATGTTATGGAAATATAATAAAATAATCGCTTCTTTAGTGTATATCATCCAGCCAATTAGTATTTATAGCGATAGATGGCGACACCAGCAATGCCAATGAGTGTCGAATCCATTAAATAGCAACTTCAGCTGAAAGATAGGTAATCAATTTATAAAAAATCTAATTTTCTTACTTTACAAACATTTGCTTTATTTCGCTATACCTTAGAGTTTTCCACCATTTGCTGCGTTTGGGCTTGTTCGCATTTTAGTTCCAAATTTCTAGGAAATTTCAAATTTTTGGGTACAACGAGCGTCTTCTGAAACATTTGTTTGTCATTGCGGTATTCACCACGTCGAGCTTTAATAATAGGGAAATCCTAAAAACATTTTAGATGATTTCAAAAAGAGTTTGGATTTTTATATTAAAGCGTCAAACCTGCACATTGAAGTAGGCATCATTATCGACGCAGTACTTTATAATCATGCGCTAATGAGGATCCAAAAGGAGTAGTTAGGAGTTGCCGTATATTATAAGAAGGCAGCGTGGTCGAGTTATTGTGACGTTAATCCGTTTCTCGTTTTGGATGGAACCTACTCCAAGGCGCAAATCGCTAGGTATATGGTCCTAATTTGATTTCACTGTTAAGATCAATATTATGTCGCATTCCTAAAAAAAACCAAGCGAAAGCAACATTAGTATTAATTCAAACATTAATGAAGTTTTACGAAAGTTATACCTCTCCTTGGAATTCCCCCATGGTACCTATTTTAGGCGATGCTACGTCGGCGTCATCAAAAAGTTTGTGTAAATGTTCAACTTGTTTTACGTACGGACTTATGATGCCAATGAATTCTGGCTTAATATCCTTACGACACAAGTTGACTGTCAGAATGAAAACCTTCAAAAATGAAATAAATGTTATGAAATACTAAATAGAAGGGATAGTGCTTTTAAACTAAATACAACTTACTATCTTCGCTTCGTACATATTTAAGCACTGCGTATCTTTACCACGCGTTACGCAGAAGATTACACCATGTGTTTTGGATCGAGTTGATGACTGCGGCAGCAAATTCTCGATTTGCTTCAGCTTTTCGGCTTCACTTACCATTGGTACGTTTAGAACCTTACGTTGCGATTGATAAAAAAAATGAGTCAAAAATATCATTCTTTGAATGTTGTTCGGATGTATTACATAAAATAAATGTATCTCTGATTTGCTTTGTAAATATAAAATTAAATGATGGCAGCATTTCAGAAAATAGTTATGTTTACCTTAGGTCCACGCCATTGCCATAAGTTCAATTTTGAAAGACAGCCAATGAAAACAATGAAAGAAAATTCGAAGCAATCGTTGAGTGACTCAACCGATTTATTAGGAAAAATAAAATTCAATGTTCCTACTCGTTCAGATATATAGTCTGCGTATAAAATTTTATATCCGCCTGAGTGGCCGAGTAAGCAAGAGTCTCGACTAGCAACTCAATAGTCGTGGGTTCAAGCCTCAAGTGCGGTAGAGTTTTTTAATAACAGCCGATAGCCCTAGATGCTAGTGCTTTAAGACTTTAGTCTTAGAATTTATTCTCTGGCTAAATTTATAATAATAATAATAATAATAATAAAATTTTATGTTTATATATAGCTTGGACAGATAAACGAATTTTTAAACTTGTTAAGAAACTGTCTTGGCGAACCGGTTTTTTTTGATTCGTATAATCGGTTTTTGAGCCGGTCATCCGAATTTGAGAAGCCATTTTTTTCATTGGATTACTTTTAAGTAGTAAAGGAAATAGCATTTAACTCGTTTAACAATTTCTGCAAGTTTCATTAGGTAAACCGATCTTTTGAAAGAATACAACAAATAAATTAATCTCGTATTTTTTCTTCACCAAAATACGAAATCTTTCTCTTGTAAAAATACTTTTGTACGTTTTGTAGTTTTTTTTTCGTAAAGGTTGTAGTACTTTTAAAATACACAGACGCTGTCAAGAATATATATAGGTATTCCCGATTAGCCTAAGAGGGATTGTTATGTTTCCATAGTGTGACGCTATGCTGTAAACATAGAGTTAAAAGACAATAGGAAAAATGGATGTGCGCTATCCGTTTACAAAGAGACAAAAATAACATAGAAAGTAAACGTTGACGCGAAATTCTCCAATTAACGACGACCACTTTAATCCATAGTAAAGAAAATGTTTGGAATGCGCTTGCAACTAGGGCTTCGACATGGGTTGAGCATAGAACTCAACTTGAATCAACTCAAAGGCGTAAAGTAATTAAGGAATTGAAGGGAGATAACTAACAAAAAGAAGCCCTGAGCGTGAAAATTTTTGTTTTCGCGTTTCTGAGTATTTGTCAAGCAATTAAATGAAAATTTCTTTAATTTTCGTTAATTTTTAGACCAAAGGAACCGAGAATTGCTGGAGAACACTTTTCTCTAAAATTCCATTTGAAGGATATTCTAAAAGATTCGAGGGAGAAAAATTCGTTGAACAGTAGATTGTCGGAGCGAGTTGTCAATCTTACTCATTGCTATGTATTTTGGAAAAACTAAAATAATTTTTTCTTTAAAAACATATTTCTTCTAAAAATTACAAAACTTACTTGCATCTTTTCGCACCGTCATTTTTGTTTAAAATGACATTTTGATTGTCTTGTTACACCATTACGGGCACCTGTTTCAAAGGCAAGGTTGCTTGATTGGAACGGATGCACAAATAGCTAGGTGTAATAAATTATAGAAAGAACACAGCAAGGTTTTAGCATTATTCTAGCAGAGAAGTCAAGCATAATGTGTGAAAGATGAGATTTAAACAGTAAAATATTAGTTTTGTTAAAATGACAATATTTTTTGGAGGAAGTTGGATTTGGGACTTTAAAGTAGTTCAAGGAACCATCATGCGGAAATCGGTTTACATGAATCTGCGGAAAGTTGCAAAGCAAAGATCTAGCAGTTTGCCATTACTATTAGGAGTACGGCTGTATTGAAGTAAATCACTATCAAATAATTCAGAACACTATCAATATATCAGATGTTGAAGTAGGGACCGTACAGCCAAAATTATCACTATACCGCCAAATGGCTCGTGGCAAATTGAAGTCCTGCAACGCTATGACTATATCAGCGGGTTTAAAATTTTCGGTCATGTCACAAATGGGGGCAGCATGTTTCTTATAAACAGATATATCCTCATTTGGGGGAATCTAGGCGCAAGTTACAGATAGCCGTTTACCTCCAATTTTCGCCCAAATGACAATAAATTCTACATAAGAAAGAGCAGGGAATGCATCAGAATAGGGCGGGACTGGCAGCAGATATGGCAATTAAACCATCACGACCAGTGCGATCGCATCGAACCTTTCTGAAAACCTGGGAAAAATTGTGAAAAAGTTGCGACGAATATTAGTCAGTTTTTAACCAAGTTTCAGTGAAAGTCAAAGAGGAAACCTTCGCGCTCACTGAATTTTTGATTTTAGGTTCCTAACATTCTGTTAAATGAAAGTTGCTGGGCCTGAAGAAACATTTAATTTTTTAGGGTGGAAGAACTGTCGAAATAGTATTATGGGGACAGTTCACTGGAATGAATTCCCTTGTTAAGCATTCAACTGGCCACAATAAGTTATTTAACAAAATTTTCATGTTGTCTATCGGAACTAACACCTTAAAAGACGAGATAGCTCTCTGTTGAGATGGAGCTTATAACCTTCAAATTGACGGATAGGACTTTTGTAGCAAGATAACAATTTATGTTGTCCTCAGAATTGTCAAGCGGCAGTTTTGGCACGAGTGTTTCCTTTCTGGGGGTACTGCCCTCACCGCCAAGTAGACGTCATCTGCATTAGGAGCGATAGGTTTCATAGGTAGAGAATTTTCAGTTGGAAAGAAAATAGAGGGATACTTGTCTGCGCAGCTTGTATGATTTGTCCAGCATGTTGAGCAGCGGATACACTCGAACTACTATGGGTAGAAGCGCCATTGTTATTTTTATTAATATTCTTTCGGAGGAGATATCCGTGTACATATACCAATGATATACATATACATATATATATATATATATATATATATATATATACAAAAAAAACACCGAAAATTCCTGCAGAAGCTTTTTCATTGAGAAAATTCCTTAAGAAAGCCATTAAAAGAAAAATTACACAAACTAGGCTAATTATCCTTTAAAAGTTAAGAGAATAAATTGCTTTTTTCTTAACTTAAAATGGAATCGTTGTAAGCATAGATTTTAACCCATAAATTCCGTTTTAACGTTGGCGATAATTATTTTAGTTATTACAAAGTACATGAATTGCTAGTCGTACTTTTAATTCTCATTTTTAATAATCGAATCGATTAAAGCGCCATAGAGTTCTGGACGCATAGATATTGTTTGAAATTTCGCCGACTTGTACAACATTCAATTTAACAGTCCGCGCATTACGTTTCAATCATTTTCAACTCCATCTTTCGTATCTGAGAGTCAGTGTAAGACTCATGGGTAATGTAAACGAAATTTGCTATTGGGGGAGGAAATAATTCTTCATATTTAACCGCTACAAACAAGCCAGTTACACCAACTAATTGCAATTGTGAACGTTTCGTACCTGTAACCGCTTGTAAGCAGCGTTCTATTATTGCGACAACCATTTGGAAAGTTTCAGGAATTAAACGGAACTGTAAATGGACCTCATTGATCTCATCTATTAATACGGGACGCATATTGACATTAACCCCCACATGCCCTTCCAAATGATTTTTAACAATTGGTTGTTCGAATTCCAATTGGAACAGATAATCGTAAATATCATTGACGTATTCAGACGCTAAGAGCAAATTTTCACTGTCATCCTCATCAATATCGTTTACGCCGTCTAATAATTCAGACGAATAAGATTTTGAGTCTTTAATGTTTTCCTTGTCCACTGTTTCTAAGCACTTCTGCTTTACCAAAATAGGATGTATACTATTTCAATCAGTTTGTATTGCAACTGACCCCACTTTGGGCAAAAATTTGCTTTATGTTCAAATGGACTTTACCTTTTGTTTTCTGGGCAATTTGGGTTTTATTCATGACGACTTTATTGGTCAAACTCTTTGCTTTCTCGGCTCCCGTAGAAGCATCAGCCGATTGATGACGCTGCAAACCGACAACTTTAATTCCGTTCCGCTAATTACGTTAGTACTTGCTAAGCGCAATGAATTGGAGCGTGTTATCATTTTACGCTGAGCAACTGCAGCGGATGTATTTCACATCTGACGGTGTTATACATGCGTTATTTATTTGGCAGATTCGTGTGGCCCCATTTCTTCGCAATAAAAAGACGGACATGTCTGCTCGCAATTTAAGAATTATATCCGTGTTCGATGCAACATCAAGCTCAAGTCAAACACACATTTTAGAAACCTTGAATCCTAAAGGCCTCTACAATTTGTAAATAAAGTCTTGAAATACCAACAAAGTTTTTAGCGGAGCAAGAAAAAATATTGAAAATCATTTGTCAACTAAGTAAGAAAAAAAATTAGAATATTATGTTTTTTTAAATAAAATAAATAATAAAATTAAATGATTTAAGGTGGCGTAGAAACTTGCCGTTTTGGAGATGTAAGGGCGATCGAACTATTTGCGTTTATCTTAAATTTCTGTGAATCGCTGACCAGCTACTTTTATATAATTCTTAACAAATAAATACAATTTCAAGCGTTCTTTTACTTCTAACTGTATTATATAAGTCGAAATGAAAAAGTAACATATATTTATACATGTCGCTTTTAACTTTTGCCTACGTTTTTTCTGACGCAGTCTCTGCTTTTAACATAGTTGTGGATGATTTGTTTTTAACATAATTGTGGAGGTGTTTTTATTGGTCTGCGCATAGTTAGCATCTACGCAACCCTGTTACCAAAACATGGTATTTTTGACATTAGATGTCATTTGCAAATAACAAACAAATAGCTAATGGATTTTTCGTGACAACTGATACAAATTTCTGTTCCTTTAACTCTTCCGACTGTAAGTTACCCTCCAAATGTATTATAACATAATCCAAATTTTCAACCTCCTCACTGCCGTCTTGTATGTGTTGTAGAAAAAAATCGGAAAAATCTCCCCGTTTATTCAGTAATTCTTGATAGGTATCATTTTCACTAATTTCACCCAATTTCATGACATAAATATTATCGGTTTGGGGCAAAAACGTTACGCCAATATACAATCGGGTTATGTAAACATATTACTTACCTTATCTTATCTGATCGATTTTTTGTATTTCCCGTTTACGTTCTTTGATATCATTTTCCAGGCGTTTAATTTCACTTAACTCTTGCAATATATTACCTCCTTTAAGTTTTGAAATGCCTGATAAACCTCCTTCAGCATCAACTACATCGCCATCTAAATTTACAGAACGGCAATGAATGTATCCTTTTTAATGGTAACACGATTTTGTAATTGGCCTTTTGTCAAATTTTCTTGCTCGTTACATCATGTCAAACAGCTTGTGAATTTGCAAAGTGTGTTCGCGTAGTTGTAAAAATGGCGACAACCACGAATCGTTTAGGCGGCATATATTTGTAAAATTTTAGCTATAACATGCGCTGATATATCGTTGATGTTCATTAATAAATTTTTGTAATGGGCATTGCATTAAATTATACAATTACATCAGAAGTTTAGTGCGTTAAACGGCCCAATCGCTACAGTGGTCTTGTGGTGAAACATCTTGTATCTTAATCTAAAATTGAGAGAATAAGTTAAGAGAAAGCATTGAATATTGAGCTGACGCGCGGAGAAGTTAGAACCACGTGATGTTGGTGTTCTTTTCCTCTCTGAAATTTATTCCGGACAGCAGCATAACCAACACGAATCCGAGCAAATTTGTCGGGTGCAGCTCACTTCTGCTGCACGACCCTGCTGTCCCGAAAAAGGCAAGCCGTGCTACTATTGTCGCCTGCACGCGCTTGCCTATATTCCTCTCAACCATGTGTTGCCTCATGGACACGTAGAAGACCTCGTCTGTTTCCTTAAATGCTGCATGGATATCTTCTGTTGGAAAGGCCATTTTGAGATATTTCGAGATCCAGGTGAAGCTATTCCGTCCATCGCTGGCAACCTTGCGACCTCACTTCTCACGGCAGAAGGCATCCTCCTCTAGCGTGAGTTTCTGTAAACCTTCCTCGCATTCCAGCTGCTCACGGATGTAGCGGGCTATTGCGCATCCTGTGAGCAGCGTCAGGAACTCTTCCAGCGTGCATGTTAACGGCGGGAGGTGGTAGTCGTCCTGAGCTGTGACTCCTTCTGCCCAACATTCCTCCTCTACGGCCCTCAGACTTTTGACCGGCGCCGTTATTTCTTCGGGCAATCGGGTCCTCATGTTGAGTGCCATACCCTGTAGGCCGCGATAGTGCTGCCAGGATAAGCCTCTAGCAGCTCGTCCATGAGTGCTTCGAAGTTCTTGACTGTTAGGCGGACGCGCTTAAATTTTTAAGCAAATAATCGTGAACGTCTTCTAGTTCATTTTTGAGCTCCATCCATGTATCGCTGTTGATGGAGCTTCAGTGGAAGACAATCATGAACTTCGCCAGCATTGCGGTCAAGTCGCACGTCCGTTGCGCCTTACCGTCATGGTCTTCGATCTCTTCGTTGTCGATCGCTGCATGTAATGTCGCGCCCTGCACATCGTTCGTGGTCTGCAGTGAAATGGCCATCCCCCACAGCGTGCTGTATGCCGGTATTCAGCCTCTCTGTTGCCAGTAAGAAGAAGTGGGCTCTCTCATTTGCGTCACCATTGTTAACAAATTAATGGCAAAATCGGTATTGGCCTCCCTATACGTGTTTAGTAATGCGTCTACTAAGTGGAGATAGTCATATAAAAGCGGTGTGTGCTACCGTCTGCTTGCTTTCTGTCGTAGACTTCAGTTTTGCAGTTACGAGTATATCGTTTGTTTGCTGGATTTCGGTCGCAGATGACAGCCCTCACGTCCAGTCCCATATCTTCCGCCGCTTTGAAATTTTCTTCCAACAGCGGCCCCATTTTTTGTTTACTCGTTGTGCACGGGTAGCTGTTGAGAAATACGTTGAATGGGGTTCAGAGATTATCTGCTGCGAAGATCAGCACAGCGCGGTGCTCCATGGTGGTCGTTTCCACCTTGTTGCTATAATCGCAATCCCGCACCGCGTCTTCTGCGCGTGAGTACACCACCGTCTTATTGGTGTACACATCGTCGAAATCTATCTGCACAACTCCGTTTTGTGGGGTCAGTTAATCGAATTTCGAACGAGGATTTGACGGTTGTCGCCTTGGAGCCTGGGCTGACGTCGACGGTCCGTCGTAGTCATCATCAGCCATCCCCATGCAGCCCTCTAGAAAATTGTCTATACGGCTCCTCAGCATCAAGGCAAGTGTTACTTCAATTGATGAAGGCGTCATTTGCATCAAGGTAGGTGGTATTCCAATTGGTATAGATCTCCTCCGCATCGGTTCAGGCGTCCTCGGCGCATCAGTTTCGTCCGTTTCATCACATCCGTCAGGTTTAATATAACCTCATCTATGATGGGTACATTCCCATCCAACACGCCCTCCTCAAACCCCAAAAATCCTTCGTCAGACGGATACTTTCCTGAAATCTCTTTTCTCGTTTTATTATTTTTGTCATGGTCTTAGCTGCCCGCTTGTATCCCAGATCTTCCGCATACCATACGTATTTTGATAAGAACGACTCATTGGTAAGCGAAAGAAATAACTTCTGCTATTATGTTACATTGGCTGACGGCGTCATCATACCATTTAACCAACGCGCTGGGCATGTGCTTGACCAACCACCTTATGTTAACCCAACATTCTGTTCGCATATACGCAGACAAATTTATTTGCTTATGTTGCACTTTAAAGCTGCAAAATATGAGTCATCCAATAGTAAGTAATATCAAACTTAATTATAGAATTACTCCAAGACTTTATATATGCTCCCGCTTTCTGTATCAAAATCAAATTTTTAAAAAAGTTCAGTATGTATGGACAGTTGGAGCATGCATAAATCAGTTAAAATTCTTTTGCGAATTTATACTTACAGTAGACCTGGAAACGAAAACTCGTATAGCTTCAGAAACACTATCTTTGCGATTCTCAATTGTAAACAACTTCAGACGCTTACTCTCAGATGTGACCAAATTCAGACGCTTGGTCTCAGATGTGACCAAATTCGGAAGTTATTTGATAGTGGTTATTCGCAATGGTATAATTTTCACGACGGGCAATAACTCATACGTCCAGTGTTGTCGGACTGTTATTGGAGATGAGGTATACCGTGGAAGTGCTGCTATTCACCGAATATCGGAAAAAAACATTTGTGACCCAAAAGTCAATGGGGTTTAGATGGTCAAATCAAGGTCATTACAATACGACAGGTACTACAATCCAGGCGATGAGCGATATTAGCGGAGAAAAGATTGTTAAATTAGCTTGTGCTTGTGATTGCGTTTTAGCTTTAAGTAAGAACGGAGGTTTGTTCGGATAGGGCAATTCAGAATATGGTCAATTAAATGATTCGGACGTGGCTAAGGTTTAGGACATAAAGAGGACCAGTTTCTTCCCTTTAAAAACGGAATCAACGGTAAAGAAACTAAAATAGCGTACGGAGTGGATCGCACTCTGGCTCTTTCTAAATTCTTCATTTAATAAATGCATCAAATAATTTCCGAACGAAGCTTTTTAATATTATAATATTATACATTCATTGAATGTATAACGTACAATATAATGTACATAATACAAAATAATAATACAAAGTAATATACATTAAAATTCTAAGATACCGTTGAAGTGCTTCTTGGTCCAATTTTAATACAGCAACTATGCGACGAAGAGATAGTTGGGAAAAATGATATAATTTGAATTTATTAGGGAATTAACTAAAGGTCCATAATAAATAAATAAATAAATTCACATTTGTTCCTTTTGCAGATTTTAAAATTTGAAAGAACTCTCCTATTTTATAGATTGAATACATTATGCTGCAAATTAGGCTGCAAATATGTTTATACTTTCGAAACGTTTCCTTTTATTAACTTTACACGATGTATAGATATTACATCCCCCATTTAAAATTTCTAAATGTGGATTATTAGTAATGACTTTCTACTTAAATTTGGTACCCCATTAAGGCAATGTTTAATAGTGCTGCTGACACGGAAAACTCTACCGCATTCTAATTTTAAATTTTCAGCGAAAAGACCTTGCTTATATATTGTTCGTAGGGTATTGTTATTACCCCATCCATATCGGTTGATGAATCAAAGGAAGTCGGCAAAAAAAATTACTAACATTCAAGGCAAATCAGTGAGATCAACTAATACCATAGTGAATAAACAGTACTTTTACGAGGATGAAGTATTTTGAATCGATAAAAAAGGCCGCGTCAAATTTGTTCTAGTTGTTGGGACATCTGGGTTCTATTCGGATGAGGAAGATAAAGTATTCAAAGACTCACTTCTCAACGGTGATTTGCGTGTAATTTGGTATCCAGGCGGGTAAGACGTAACCGTCAAAGAAAACTCGGTTAGGAATTGGAAAAATCGAAAAGAAAAAAAATCAGTTTTGTTTTTTGCTAATGATTACTCCTTAATTGCTAAATGAGTCCCGGAAACAGCTGATATCAATTTTAATGAGCTTTCATTCCGTTAATTGATTTCTTTTTTTTGCTTGTCAGATTGGCTTAGCGGATCGGACTTTAATGCCAGGAGATATTGTGCGGCGTATGGTGCCTGGAAAATTTACACAACGTGGTTATTGCAGCAATATTCGCATGTTGGCTGACGTGAAAGTGCTTGGTACAAAATGTGTGATAAAAAATCTCGAAGCTTTCTTTCGTCAGTTATAATTCCGTTTTATGTCCGGAGAGCCTTAAGTTTTAGAGATAAAAATTAAAAAGGACGCGCAATCGTCGCAATCGCCAATCTTCTAATTAACGTTGACGACGTTTGCAACATTGACGATCGTCTGCACTGAGCGGACTACCCAATTCTCGTCGGCCGCCTTCCAATTTCAGTGCCAAATTTTTTCTTCCTTAAACCGCCACACTTTGCCAGTGGGTTTGCTACTTCGCACGGGACGACATTTGTTGTATTGAGTATGATTAGTTATATTGATAATCAAATTAATTAACGTAC